AATTTTTTTGTAGTTTATTGCACTTTTTTGCAATTTATGTAATTACTATGCACTTAATGCATACATATTATTAAAATTTGGGCTATAATGGTTATATTGAATGGCACTACAAATATACAAAAATAGAATATAAGCTCTGGCGGACTTGGTTCTATGGTAGGTCTTAAAGGGTTATGGTCTCATATAATGCAGACAATCTGAGCCCTCTGAACGACACCTCCATACACCTAAGGTTCATCTCAGTTTGTACAGCACATATTGCTCTTTCACTGCTGCTATGTAAGATCAGAGAAATCAAACTGTACAAATAAACTGTGACCACAAGGTTCAAGGAAAACATGACTATATCTACTGCAGCTGTAGTACAGTTCTGTGCCTGTAATATTCACTGGCCAACTTCAACAATGCAATAAATATGTTTGCAGTTTTTAATTTACAGCTTATATTCCCTTCTTTTCTTTAATAACTCCCTCATTTGTTGAAAACACACACTAATTATTTCAACTTATGGGTCTTAATATAGTTTAAATGCGCTCCACTACTAAACAACATCATAAAAAACACATGATTTACTGGAATTGTTATAAAAACCCTCAATTTTAAAAGGATAATTTGATTTAAAAAGGCATAAGCAATGCATTCAAGGTCAGTGATGTAAACCGGTGGCAGTTCAGAGCTACATTACTTTTTCTAACAAGCTAAAGTATTCTAAGCATGAAATAAATGCCACAGCGTGCTGCTTTTGTTTTTTTCCACTGCAACGGAAACAAGGCAGGCGATAATAGTCTTCACGGTATTCCTGCTGACAAAAAGAGGTGCAGAACATGCTTGTGGAAATCAACAACTTTCAAAATCCTGAGATCTGTGTTCTTTGCACTCCTGATGCATTAGGTCCATTTAAAAGAGCAAACCAAAGCACAGTGTCACCCATTTTCTCCCATAAGTAGCCTGATAGCAAGTCAAAATTGCTTTGAGAAATCCAGCTGGGCAGCAAGCCATCTTCTCTGACACTGAACCAAGGTGACTATCTGCCAGTTCAATCAGCTCAGCAGTGCACATGTGTTCGGTGTTTTCCAATTAAATCTGATTCCGTGGCTCAGACAGATAGAGATGCGTCGCATGTCAGCAGGTTCGCGCAAGCTAGGAATAATGGGCATTGTTTACAACAATGAGAATGAAACTACCTTGGAGAAAAAAGCAAGGACTATATAATGGCAGTTGATGCTAATCTCTATAAAGAAGTAGAAGAAGACAGGGCGATCTATTTGCTGACCTCTAATAGCTGACGCTCTTGCTTTTTTATCTTCATCTTGATATAAAGTTTTGATTCATGTCTGGTATGTTTTCCTCATTATGCTCTGTTACAAAATGAAATAGCTGAACAGATACATCAACGCAATGACATCACCACCCTGAATGGCGGTCTACGTGTGAAAAGATTTTTTCATTATTCCTAAAAACTAAGACAGAGCATTCATATATTGTTTATATCAGATATTAATGACTAATGCCAATAATAATGAGCTCTACATGAAGGTTAAAATATTCAGCTCCAGGTGCCATAACGGTCCATCTTTTATGTACAGTCCTTGGGCCTCACCAAATATTAATGCATTTACCTTTCATTTTATAACCATTTTCTTCATCTAGCAAAATGCTTTTTAAACAAGAAGAGCCATTTTCACCTGAATGCTCAAGGTTTTTCATTCAAAGTCTTGGTTCAGTCTGTGCCGCTCAGACTGTAAAATCTAGCCGAGAGCTATGTGCAAAACTGTTGTGACGCTTCCACGGACACTTTTAGTGTCAGTAGCTGCCACACCAGCTGACTACTGAATCACCCTGGACAAATACCGGTCAGGACATAAACTAAGCTGGATAAACTGGAACTGGCAGAAGTGCATTTTAGCAATTGTTTTGGGGTGTGGACGCACAAAAAAGCCAACAGTGTGAAAGAAATGTCATCTTTATATGTGTAGTGGGGAGAAATCTGCAACAGCCAAGATTTAAGAGCTATAACTGGAAACAGTGAAATGTGCTCAGCTTGTCAGGCTGGAGGTTGTCAATCATTGTGAAGCCCCAGAAGATCTATGTTGATTTCCCATGAGGACACAATCCTGCTGCTGGTATGACCACAGTTTCATAAAGAACAGACTTAAAACAAGGGGGGTGCTGAAGCCACTTAATAATTTCTCTTTCCTTTAAGTGGGATGCTTTCCCTCGATCCCATCTAATTCCTCCACCCCCCCTTTAATGGCATCAATGCATCCTCAGCCATGTGTCAGCAGAATGGGCTTTTAACTTTTAGCGAGGCTGTGCCGCAAACCTCCTCTGAGTCGGATACAGAAAGTCTCTGTTTTGAAGACCTACAAGTTATCCAGTCATTTAATTTAAAGTTTATTTGAGTTTCATTTTTTTGCTGAGAGAATACGGCTCAAATTCACTCAAAACTGATTACATGAATGGTCTGGACCACCCAGACTCTCTGGGGTCCTAAAGGAGGGTACAGTAAAGCAAATTTATCTTCCCCTTTTGAGTTTTATGGAAGATACAAAGTTTACTCACAGATATGATCTTTTACAGTCACATTATTTCTCTCAAGTGACCCCAACCTTTAATGTTGAGACTTTCTAACCCTAAAAGCACTAGTCGTGAGAAAATCCATGTGTGAAAAAAATTAGCCCTCTTCCAAAGCCTGGAATTAACCTGTGAATTTTTTTTCTAAATATAAATGATTTAGAATAACAGTAAGAAGCTATAATAAATTATTTAGTATAGCTTCTTACTGGTTTATAAACTGGTTTGCCAAATTAAACCCTAAATTGTTAAACCCAAGGATGGGCAGCGACCTCTGCTCTGTCTTAACATTTTGCCAAGATAACGTGCTGCAGAAATAGACTGACTTACTACAAGTGACATAGCCAGTCTGAATCCCAAAATAACAGAGACCCCGTGGGCATGTTTCCTTCCCAGCGTGGTGTCTCGTTTACCATTGTACCCTGCTGTATTTAGACTGGGGCTCTGGTCTAATGTCACTGCTGCGGAGACAGCTGCCCCATCACAGCTTTACAGCTCAACTCTGCTCTGCTGATCCTGTCAGCTGATTGTGTTTTCTTGGAAGCTCAAAAATATTGTTCACAACAATACTACACGCCCTATTCATAGAAGTGGCTCAGTTGGGATAAACAGCTCCGTCCTGCTCTGATTCAAATTGTGCCTTACCCATGGTGGTAAATCAGAGGTGGTGAGAGCACATTTGGCACTTTGCTCCTCTTGCTCAAAGAAAGCTATTGCTCGGCTCAGTCGGCTTTGTTTTCCTCCTGTGTTCCTCCTCCACCAGAAAAAGATCACAAGTCCAATAAGCAGCCAGCTGAAACTGAACTCAAAATAACCAAGTGCGTAAATGGGGAAAATGAGCACAAATGTCTTAGCAAAGTGGACCCAGGTCTGGGTCAGCTCGCTGGTGGATGACGCTGGGGTATCGTCGGGTATGGTCGTCTCTGAGGGATGGGGAAAGTTGGGTTGAGGTGGACTCGGCGTAGTGTGCCCGTTCTCTTTGGGCAAAGCTGGGCTAGCGTTTTGTGAATGGCTTCCTCGTACATCTGTCATGCTGTCTCTTGACATGTCTCTGTGGCCTCCTCAGGAGAGTGTCCTTAAAATGTCAAAATGCGGAGTGTCACAGCTCCCATGTGCCAGCGGACCAAAGCAGTCTTCATACGGGGATCCTGCTCTCACGTCAGTTCACCTGCACACCAGCCCATCGCCCCGGGAGGAACCGCTGTCGTTCACCGTCTTAGTTTCCACTCTGAAGAGCAGCTCGCGAAGACATTCCGCTGATTAAATCGGTCTGCTTGAGATAGTCCAGTCCACAGCTCTACTTACTCTGCCCACACAGGGTGGGTATGACCATTTCCAAAAAACGCACAAGCATCCAGTTGTGTGCGATCCCAGCGGCGTCTCTAGCGCTATGTATAAAGCTAAGACATCGCCATCTGGTGTTTACTAGAGGCAACTACATTGTTATCACTTAGAAAGCGTCAAAGTCCAGTGAAACAGATATTCTTAAAAGTAAATGTTTAAATAGCATCATGCATTGGCTGTATTTGAAAAAAAAATATTGCATTTAATAGTGCCTCTCTAGCTTGTTAGTACAGTATTACCCTTAAACCCGAAATGATGAGCACTGATAAATCGCTACTCAGTCTTTATTGATAGAAATATGAACTCACATACAACTAGACATAATAGGGCGAAACAACTAACGGTTATAATCGTTTAAAGCCCAAAACTTAAGATATTTCGCTAAAACAAAAATGTATGGACAGTATCTTCAGCCGCTGCCATGGCAACTGGCTGTTGATTTCAGCGATTTCTCTGCTGCGGATTGATACGGCTGTTGTCAAGCCGAGGTGACGCGTTCTCCTTGGATTCGGCAGACTGCGCCTGCGCGCTGGGTCTTAACCATCATGGCGGTGTCTCTACAAAAATAAGAGCTAATATTCCGTGATTGAAGACAGCCAAGAAAAAACAAGCGCCGATGAGAACATGTACACAGATAAGGTACGTGCTTCAGCTCTGACTTTACCGTGTGTGAGCCAAAACTGAGAAGTGTTTATTTTTAGTAGAAAAAGTCGTGTTCGCTATGAATGTTGTCAAACGTTATCTCAAAGAGTGAATGTTATCCCGCTGACTTACATGGGTCTGGTTCGATATCATACAAGTTATATAAAATGGTGTCTTTCAATTAAAATGTCACCAAATGAACCTTAAGAAACGTGTTTGTTTAGAAAATAACAAAGGAAGACACATGGAGACCTGCAGACCTGAGGAGACACATCAGGGTAAGTTGCAGAATTTTCTGATTCAAGCTCGATTTGTAGCAATTAAATGCAACAGTAGATGATTTAATCGTATTTTTATTGGTTGTATTTATTTATTCTAGGAGGAAGAACGCGGTGGTGACGATGCCAGGAGGCGCGATGGCTATGATAGAAGGTACCGTGGTGGGGAATCCGCTGAGAGACGCCATAGGGACCCAGAAAAGGAGTCTAGACGCGAGAAGGAGAGGCTCAGGGAAAGAGAGAGCACAGGGAGAGAGAGAAGAGATGAAGGGACAAGAGACAGAAGGAAAGAGGGCTCACAAGATAGGAGAGCTGAGAGAGGAAATGAAAGGGAGAAGACAAGGGAAAGGGAGAGATTTGTAGATGTAAGGAAGTATGGTGATGACTACAGAGAAAATAAGGAGAAGAGAAGAGACCTAGAGGAAAAACATGACAGGGAGAGGGATAAGGAAAGACACAGAGATATGGAGAAAGAGAGGGTAAGGGACAGAGATAGACACAGGGAGGAAGACCGTAGTAAAAGAAGGGATGACGTAAATAAGGAAAGAAAAAGAGAGGAGGAGGACAGAGAGCTTAGGAATGATGGGGATAGAAGAAGACACAAGGAAAGCAGGGAAGGAAGAGGAGCTCAGATAGAACAGCACCACAGGGAGGAGAAAGATCAGCATCGGGAGAGGGAGAGACACCAAAATGAATATGAAGATACAAGGAATGCCAAGGAAGAGAGACAAAGAGACATGAAGCATTTGGAACAGAAAGAGGACAGAGGTAAACACACAGGAGTGTGCCTATTTAGAGTAGCATGTCCATGAGATGTTTAATGTTTGAATGTCTTTGATTTCAGAGTATAAAGAAGAACATAGAAAACGTAAAGAGGAGAGAGAACGGAGGCACAGAGAGAGAGGACATCATGTAAGCTTCCACAGTAATATTAATGTTCGCGTATTTGAATTTTTAAGGAATGGCTTTGATTACATCGACCCTCTTGCTGGGATTTTCCTGCTATTTAGGAGGAGAAACAGAAGCACGATAGTGAATACAGAGAGCATCGAGGGGAAGAGATCAGACATCATCGTGCTGACAGAGAGTTGGCTGAGAGGGACAAACCCAAAGACAGAAGGTACAAAGAGGGAGAAGACCCAGACAACAAACACAGGGAGAGAAGGCACAAACATGAAGCTGACGTGGAAAGGAAACACAAAGAGAGAAAGCACAGGGAGGAAGACGATCACAGAGACAAGAGATCATCATCTGGCAAGAGTCATGAGAGGAATGTGGTTAGTTTGCGTGTAAATTTCCCTCATAGCTCTCACAACGCTGATCCAATACTATGGATTATCTGATTGTAAACCCTTTCCTTGCATTATATCCTTTCACAATATAGGAAGTTGACTTGGTTTCTGAGCAGTGGATACCTGCTGTGAAACATGAAGCAGACACAGAGGAGCCTGTAAGATGCTCATGGTTATAGCCTTCAAAGGCAACAAATGCACTCTTGCATGTCTTTGAACTTTTTTTTTTTTTTAGCATGGGGGTGTGTTTCTACTTATTCCATTTATTTCATAACTCGCTGAGCCTAAGGAATATTGTGTCTTGGCACCCTTTCTGGAGTATAATACCTCAGCCTCACCTTTCTGTGCTTGCATGAGAACAAACCAGGTTTAAGCTCAGTCTGCAGCTGGTTTGTCTGTAATGCTCACAGTGAGCATTCGAGAGAAGCAGAGACAGGGACCTGTTTCCCACTATGTTGCATCATTTCTCCTAATAAACATAAAATATACTAAGCAGAATTTCCCATATGTAGCTATGTAACACAGACAACTAGATATCACTCTATTTTTTCTTCATACATGTGTTTTCATTTCTGTTGTTAAATTGTTGACCTGTATTGTATGCCCACACACAGGGTAGCTATTTGGACTCCTGAAACACTCTCTGTGATGCTGGTTTTATATCCAGTGCTGACCTTTTGCCAGACAACATGATCAGTTGTGAAATGTGTCACTATCCCTCTTATCACATGTTGCCCGCTCCCAGCCTTTTTCAAACATGTTGCTGACATCAAATTCAAAATGAATCTGCATTTTTTTTTTTTGATTCAGCTTAACTTTAAAGTTTTCTAACCGAACCACCTTTAAATACATTAACGATTTAGAAATTATTAGTATTGCATTCAAGTGTTTGGGAAATTGGTGTTAAAGCAACATGAGTCTGTGTACAAATAATCGAAGTTTCTTAAACGATTTTATGCTTTCTGATCACTTCAGCAAGTTGTCAATGATGAAGATTTGGCTAACCAGGATTATGAAGATGATTTTGAGGTAATTACAGAGGCTGTTCTTACAAAATATGCCAGTTTTGATTTTAATTTCAGTGTTGTTTACACATTTCTTTTTGTGTTACTTTGGCATGCTCTAATCGATTTACATTGTAAGAAAATGGTGAGTGGTCGGTTCATGTTTCTTCTTTTAGGATCTAGTTTTTGTTCATTGTGGTTATTTTTCTTGTTTCAAATAAAAACGGGTTGCATGTGCTCAGTGATGAATGGGAATGCTCTATTTAAAGGACTATGAAGAGGATTTTGAGGAACTGAATGAGAGCACTAATGAAGATGAGGACGAGAAGGAGCCATTGCATCCACAGGCGGGTGAAGCAAAGGAGGAACTTTCAGCACAGCGGAGAAAGGAGATTGAAGCTATTCGGAGAGCCATGGATGAAGAGAATGAGAGAATTGGAACAACAAAGTCCAGACAAAGTACGAGCAGAGAAGAGGAGGAGAGGCCTAAATGGTCCAGAGGTATATTCTTACCCACAATAAATGTTTTAAGTGTGCTTCTTTCTTTGTGTATAACTGAAAGGCACACTTCTGTTAAATCCAGGGTATTTTGTGCTTGATTATCCTGGATTTAAATCATCATTACTGCCCTGTTTACAGACACTGAAAAGATCCAGAGCAGAGCCTCCCAACGCGGAAAGTTTATCGACTTTATAGCTGCAAAGCAACGCGAAGTCAGCAAGAAAGTTGCCAGTAAGCAAAAGTAAGTTTATTTGCAGAAAACATATTAAGTTAAATGGACACTTGTGGTCACTTAAGTAATACTTTTCACATAAGCATAAAGCAACCTCTGGCAACCTGACAGTGTGTTTATTATTTAATTAAACCTTGAATGTATATTTGTTGCTGACAACAGGAAGAGAAGTACAGAGCTGCTTCGTTTAATCGATCTGGATTTTTCCATGACTTTCTCCCTTTTGGATCTGCCGCCGGTCAATGAGTATGACATGTACATCAGAAACTTTGGAAACGCAAACACTAAACAGGTTAGCGATTATTTCTGTTGTCTACGTCTTAATCCAAATTATAAAGAGAAACTGCATACGTCTTTATAACACGTGAGATCGTCTTCTCTTCTAGGCTTACGTTCAGTGTAATGAGGATAACACAGATCGAGACATCCAGACAGAGGAAATAGAGATGTCCGAGAAGTGGACGCAGCATCCTCCGGAGCGCAGCGGAGCATGTGGGGGTAATAAAACAATACGCTTCTGATAAGTTAAGTGTGTGGGCTATATGGTGAGTTTATTAATAGAATTTTCCTGCACTGACAGATCCAAACCTCTCTAAGGAAGCACGAGACAAACAAAGAAGTGAAATGAACTATGATTCACAGCGTCTGGCATCATTTCTTCGCTCAGCCTCACAGGTCTTTAAACTATTTGTTAGAAGTGTATGCATGAAGAACTTTTTGTCTTGTTGTTAGTTCTCACTGGTGTCATTCCAAATCAAGGTCATGGTTGTCCTGCTGGAAGAGGATCAAGCTGAGAGAAAATCCCTGGAGAAACTGAGCACTCAGTCAGACACGTTGTCTTTCAGCGATGGAAGTTTACAGCTCATCACTGAGTTGCCTTTTCTTTATGGTACAAAGTCCAACCAGAGAAACTCATTTTGTTTTTGTTTTTTACGTGTATCTTGCTCTATTCTCATTGCTAGTTTGTTAGTTGATACTTGTCTCCTGTGGCAGCAGTAGCAGCCTCTCAAAAACTCAGACAGTTCTTCCTATTAGATGTTCATGTTTTGTCTTGTCAATTGCAGATCGCCAGATTAGCATGCTGCACTTTTCTCAGGTCCAAAAGCGCACCATGCTGTCAGTTCACATGCCCACGACTAAACCCAGCGCCAAGCATCTTGACAGCTGTACCATCATCTGCATCTGGAACATCTGGGAGCCATCCAGGCCTCAGAAGATCCTTGTTTATGAGTCTGAGGTGACATTTACAACTTCTAGGATTCAGTTTTATACCATTTCTAGAGTTTGGTATCAGCCTATTATTAGCCAATTGCAAAGTGGATATTTAAAAAGTAATGTCAGACATGAGAGAAACACCATTCAGCTATGTAAGGAGTTTTGATATTGTTTGTACACTAAAGGGCACTCTTCAACTTCCCTGTTGGCTGCACATTTGTCACAAACAATAACCACCAGTCAGGCAGAGCACGAATGAGTAGCAAAATAAATACACATGACAAATATCAGTGAAACTTACGGAAGCTTGTTTCTGCCAATGAATAAAACAATTTTTGCCAGCCGAAAGAAAAAAATCTGGGGTTTTCATCTCAAGATTTCCCCTTATTAACTCAAACTTTTGAAAAAAATAATGTACAATTGAGAAAATAACCTGAAATTTTAAATGAAAAAAAAATTCAGTGGCAGAAAAAAATGGTTCATGTTTTATGTCCCTGGAAGAAAGAAAAAATATCATATGATATTTTGGAATATTAGATTTGAAATCAACAAATTGGTATCAGTCTTAAAAATCCTTTGTCAGTCAGGCTCTATTTATTTGCTCCAAAGCATTATTGTTTATCATGAATAAAAATTAAGCTGCGTTAAACTGTAGCTATTTTCTGCATCACTTAATCAGAGCAGCCTAATCAGTCTTGAAATTCAGTGAGAAGCATCAGTGCTTTGTTTGCCCTCCAGAAATCAGCAATCAAATCAGGCTTGTCTTACATGTTGGTCACATCAGAAGGGTAATTGCTTGTTGTAATTGTTCCTCCTTCTTGGGTGACCTTTGTCCCTCTACGTTCAAAAGTTAACACTGCATGACCTTTACTTTTCTAATAGATGTGAGGAAACCTAACCTATAACTCTCTCTTTTGTCTGCACATTGTCCCACATAAACATCTGTCTCACATTAACTTCAAATTTGGTTAAACTTCCTCAGCATGTGCAATCTTGTTGTAAATGATCAAACACAAACCCTGTAGTTGTTTAACACAATACTTTTTCATCAGAAATATCTGTAAAGCCTCCATCAAACATTATTTGCAATATTATGAAAAGACCGTAAGGATGGAAAATAAACATTTGATTTGTCCTTACGTGTCTAAATGGCGATATTTACTTCAGCTCTAATGAGGAATGTGAATCTGTCCTTTTAAGTGCAGCTGGTGTTATTTGTGGACTTGGCATATCGCTTCTTAGTGAAACCAAAGCCAGTGAACCTCTAACATCTACACTAATCCCCTGTTGTTTTCTTTGTTCCAGATCCAGTGTTGCTGTTTCAGCCCTGGAAAGGTCAC